CGGTACGTCTTTGTCGCGGACTCTCATCTTTTTCAAGGGAAGCTGATCATCAACCAGATTTCGCAACAGAGTACTCCAATAATAAGCTTGATCATCAATTTCGTCAAAGATTTCACCTACATGCCAGGGAGCCATTGATAAACTTTCTTTAAAGAGACATTCATCAAAGTTCTTATAGCTTCGGAATGTTATGACTTTCGGCCGATGAGATAACACCTTGTCTTTCAAGATTCCATAAATTAGGCAGTGATCACTTAACGAGGGGTGATAAATTCCGCTATGCTTGAATAGATCGGGTCTATTGCTCAACAATACATCAATTAGAGTACTGGTCGTCTTATTCCCAATGGTGGTGATACGTGTAGGTTGCGTAATAAGACATTCAAATCTTTGTTCCACTTCAAGATTTAATAATAATTTACCTTCGCTTGTGTTAGGTTTCAGTCTATCCAGGTTTAAGTCACCCAAAAGTGTCACAAAATTACTTTTGAGATTAGCCCAGTTACAAATGTCACTAAGCTCGTTTTCCAGCTGTGTTTGATAGTCTCCTGAAAGAACTGTCGGTGGTCCGTAGATTCCAAGAATTACCATATTCCTGTTGTCAATCCTGATGTCGATGGCAATGGACTCTATTGTTTTATAACTCTTTTCTAACGAGTATCTTGCAAGTCAGTTTGGAAGATATGTACACCATTACTCCTCCACCGCCCTTTTTTCTATCATTCCTATACATCCGAAAGCCAGGAATAGAAAATTGACGATCTAGATAACTCTTGTCGATTTTGGTTTCGCTAACAAATATTATGTGTGCATTGATCTTTTTAATAATGTTTTCCAGTTCCTCGAGTTTATTTTGAATACTGTTTATGTTAATATGACAGACCAGAACATCGTTCTTGAGATGGTTCTGTAGAGATTCTAGATGGACATTGTCGGAGTTATGCTCTTCCAATCCACCTTCTGTTGAACATTCGGCCGTAAATTGAGTTGTTTCCCCTTGATAATCCTCGGCAATGATTTGTGTATTACCTTCATAAACTTCTTCGAAGAAGGAGTCCGTCAGTGGCAGAAGAGCGCAGGCAGGACAAGTCCAATCAATATCAGGCTGGTCTAAGTAGTGCTGGAAAATGTGCCGAGACATATTGAGGCATTTAGCGTGTGACCAGTTTCCACATGTAGCACACAAGATGGCGTCTAGGTTATTTCTAACGGCCTTGTGACATTCACTGCATGGGTATTTAGACATTGACTTCTTCCCTTTCGGGCCAGGATTTGTGGCCACATCCCCACACAAAAACAAGTCCCTTTCCAGATTGAAGCTGCTTGTTCCTTTGGCCGTGTATAGAACCCTCCGTGAAGTAAATCGTTTGGCACGAGATTTAAATCTTCCATGGTTTGTCGAATTTGAGACGAATTCCGGTGCTACAAGCATCTTTGAGACGCTTGTGGCCTGGTAGGACTCTGGAAAGTCATCACCTATCCTTTCACGAATTAAAACTGCTGTTATAAACAGGAATATTAGAATTTGTAGTGAGCTTTTCTTCTTACAAAATCATACAACTGAGAAAGAATGTCTTTAAACCTAGAACACAATTATTGAACATGAAATGAAGAAATGGACATGAACCAATATCGTCAGTAATCCCATTTGCAAGCAATGTCACTTCTGCTAAAAGGCAATATAGAGCGCACCTGTTTACAGCAACGGGTACTATCTACTTTCGAGAGGCCAAAGACCAACAAGGGTAGTTTCACAACTACGATATTTTCGATATGCTGATTGACAATCAGCGAGCTGGCTCTCAAATTTATCAGATATTTGTTTTCCTAGCAGCTGTTCAAACACTTTATCGACACATGGCAAGACTGTTATTGGTCTGTTATTGTTAATCGCTTGAGCGTCAACTCTTTTAAAAGTCGGAATCCATTCACTTCGTTTCCATTGACTAGGCCATTTTCTTTTGTTGATACATGAGTTAAAGGGGATAGCGAGCGAACTCGAAAGTTGAGCTGCTCCAATTTTCATGATTTTAGGTGGAATACCATCATACCCCGTTGTCTTTCTTTCGTTAAGCTTTTCCAATGTACGTTCTACATGGGCATTGCTGATAGGCTCAATGTCATACTGTTGTTTGTTTCTGATGTTATTGGCTATCGTTACTACACTTAGATGATCTAGAAAGTCCTCTGGTGAATCTAATTTGCTTTTGTCACCCCCAATACCGTCAGCAATTGTGGCAAAGTAATCAGCGAACAGATCTGCGACCCTGCTTTGATCTTTTTCTACGACATCGCCGTCAGTTCTAAGATGAATCTCGATATCACCCTTGTGACCCTTTGTTGATAAGAATGGCCTAAATGTTTTAAAATAGTCCCTTGGGTTTACCTTTAGATCATCCGCTTTCTTTTTCCAATGTTCTTTGATTGCCAGACGTCTTTGCCTAGTGGCCTCATTTCTGCATTTCTTTTTGTTTTCCCAGTTTTCTTGGGTAGGATGGTTTTTATATTTCACTGTAGCTCTTCTCTTGGCACGTATTGCTTGCTTCCAACCTGTGGTCATATACGGTACGTCTTTGTCGCGGACTCTCATCTTTTTCAAGGGAAGCTGATCATCAACCAGATTTCGCAACAGAGTACTCCAATAATAAGCTTGATCATCAATTTCGTCAAAGATTTCACCTACATGCCAGGGAGCCATTGATAAACTTTCTTTAAAGAGACATTCATCAAAGTTCTTATAGCTTCGGAATGTTATGACTTTCGGCCGATGAGATAACACCTTGTCTTTCAAGATTCCATAAATTAGGCAGTGATCACTTAACGAGGGGTGATAAATTCCGCTATGCTTGAATAGATCGGGTCTATTGCTCAACAATACATCAATTAGAGTACTGGTCGTCTTATTCCCAATGGTGGTGATACGTGTAGGTTGCGTAATAAGACATTCAAATCTTTGTTCCACTTCAAGATTTAATAATAATTTACCTTCGCTTGTGTTAGGTTTCAGTCTATCCAGGTTTAAGTCACCCAAAAGTGTCACAAAATTACTTTTGAGATTAGCCCAGTTACAAATGTCACTAAGCTCGTTTTCCAGCTGTGTTTGATAGTCTCCTGAAAGAACTGTCGGTGGTCTGTAGATTCCAAGAATTACCATATTCCTGTTGTCAATCCTGATGTCGATGGCAAT